GTGGCCAGACCAGCTGCAACTGCTGATCTGGCCTCTTTTTCAGTGCCTGCCCTTCTAGAGGATTCCATGGCATTTCTAGAGGATTCTAGAGGATTCCATGGCATTTCTGCGCTCCAGCTAAGGAGCAGGAAGAAAACAAGGCACTTTTGAATCACCATCTCAGTTTGTTGGAGGCTACAGTTTGAAGAAAATCTTCTCACTCCTCTCCTTTTGGGAGAATAGAAGGTGACTGTAATCTGTCTTTGTACCAAATGTTTAATGTAGGCAAGCCTGGTAGGCGGGCAGGCTGTGCGTCCCTACTGCTGACACCCAGGCACACTGGCACGGCTCTCAGTCTGTAGTGCTGGGTGGGATCTTAGAGTTCACCCCTCCAGCCCACTCATTCCACTGATGGTTACACTCAAATTCAGAAAGTTAGGTACTTGGCCAAGCTTTTTTTTTCTTTGCCACTTTTGAAGGGTCCTTCATTATGTGAGTATTGATACTACATCAGATATGTATCCAGGATCTATGTAAAAGTGAAAAATTTCAGAAAAATCCTTAGTGCTGGATACTTAAAATGATCAAGTAAAAAGGAGGGCAATGGTTGAATTTTTTTGAAAGCAAATCACAGATTATTAGGTAAGGAAAGTCTATGTATTCACGTAGGAAGTTCAGCATCTTCTCTAAAGAACTACAAATGAGGTTTTAGGGGAATTAAATATGAAGGGAAGAAAACCTTTCAGACTTCAAATTGCAACTGAATTACCCAAATAGCTAGATTTATGTCCTATAAGGTGCATGTCCTTGTGTGTATGATTTGTGTCTCTGTGTGTACACATGTGCTTGTACGTGTCTCTGCTCATGTGTTTGTGCAAACCCATGTATATATGTGTATAGGTGCATGTATGTATCTGGTGTGTCCTCAGGCCCAAGGCAATGCAAGGAGATCCACTCTTCACACTGGAGAGAACCCTGGCTTGTTTGTAGCTGGTACTATCGGTGCCAGTTTTGCTTCTTGAGCAAGTTACATCGCTTTTCTGACAGTTTTCTCAGCTATGAAGTGGCACATGTACTTGCACAAAACCAGTGTTTTAGTCACTTAGTCATTTTAGTAATTAAATTGAATACTGCATTTTATACAAGATTTGGATATATTTTACTGTGAAATCTTCAAGATGATTTGCCCCCCAAACAACCAATTATGATACCCAAATATATAGACAGGCCTTGTGAAATACATGTATTACTTGGATTTATCTTGACAGCAACTCCATCTACATTTGCCATAGGAGATAACTGAGATTTTGAAATGAAGTAGTCTGCCGAGTGACCCAGGGATTTTTGGAGATCTGGGACACAAACCAAAATCTGTCTCCAAAGCAGAGCTGGCTATGGCTCTCCCCTTTACCTTGCCATGGCCAAGGACTGGTGTGAACAACAGCAGTGTGGATGTGATGGACTTGACATTGATATCTTGGTTCTCATTACCCAATCAGTGCTTGCCCTCTTCTCTGACACCCCCACCAGTACACAATTTCTTAAAGTAAACCCTCCATTCTGCCTAAGTGGAGACACTAGGGGAATGAGGCATGGGGTGCATTCAAACTGGGCATGCAGCGAGTGTTAGCTTCACTTAGAGGTACCTCTGCCTGGCACATCTGAAAAGCAATGATGGTATTGGACTTGCCTTGGAAGTTTCTGACAGCCATGTAACAGCTGCATGTTACTGCTCCTGATATTCTACCCAGGAAGCAATAGAAGGAGACCTGCTGGAAACTAACTGCTTAATCCCTACTTAATCTCCAGAGTCTCATAAGTCCTTTAACCCTTCAAACACTGAACTTTAAGAACTTGGTTCACAGAAACATTATGGTCATGGGAACCTGAGTACTGGGCTATGAAATAAATTCATAGAAGGGAAAAGACTGCCAGGGGATAAGCTCAAAACTAGCTTAAATATCAGTGAGAAACAAGCAAAATCATATTTACAAAATAATTATTTTTGCTTAGAAAGATATATAGATTCAATTTTGCACAGAAAATTGCATAGGAAAAAATATCCCAGTAGGGCTATTTGAAAGCAATTTAATATTTTTAATAAGCCAAAACTTTCTGATTCTCAACTACTTAACCATAAAATCTTAAAATCCAATGAAAGTCTGTTTTCAATAAATGCCACTTTACAATTTTTTTGTCCATTTAGCACCCTAAGAATACTAGAATTATTTAGACACTTAAATTTAATCATAATGACAAATATTGAGCCTTCTAACTGTCCGTCATGTGATTTAGTGCCTATAAAATATAGGTTTGGTTTTCTAATATTTTGTCTCAAAATTGTAAATAAGGCCAATTTACCCCGCAGCCTGCAAATTTCCAAGCAATTTTCTCTTATTTCCAAGCAGTCATTTGGAAACACAAAACATAATAGATCTCATGACAACTAAGAACACCAGAGGATTTGAGTTTCGTTCATTTACAGTTCTCTGATGGATGGGCGCAGGTGTTAGCACCACAGCAAGCACTGGAACCCTGGCACCAGGAGTGACAAGCTGGTGTCACTCAATGAGACAAGGCGGGGAGCAGCTTCCCTCACTTTGAACTTTCTCAGAAGGGCAATGGACAGCACATTGGATTACTATTTGGTAGATCAGGGCTTTGAGCTGCATGCCAAGGCCATGCTGCTGCCTGGCTGAGACTCAATTATTCCTGTTTAAGGTAGGGATGATCATAATACTTACCTCCTGGGGTTTTGAGCAGAATGAATTCAGCATAGTTTAGGAAATTGTTTGCAAACCCAAACCTGCCTGTTTAAGGAAGAATTAGTATTTTTATAGTTGTTTCTCTGTAGCCTAAGCTACCCAGATGCATATAGCTTTAACCCACTCACAGCACAATCTCCCAGTTTAAAGTTACCCTTTTTCATTGCCATGAGCTGTCATAAAATGCTTGTCTCTGAGAGTTACAAAAATGAATGAATGAAACAACTCAAAGTCACTCCACTTCTAGAAAAGCAAATGTGGCATAAATGTGCTTTCTGATGGAATCTTCTAGACCATCATCTATGGCAGTCCCTACACATACTTCTTGTTCCCTCTGCAGCTTTGCTGTTCTCCAGGGTAATCTCACTATCATACATACACACCGTTTATTTGACTTGTTTGTCTAATTGTCTCCTCCCATAGAATATAAGCTCCAATAAGACAGGGGTATTTGTCTGTTTCATTCACTATGGTAGCCCTTGAACCAACAACGATTGTCACGTACAAAAATGAATGAATGATGTTCAGTATGTGCCCAGGATACAAAATGCTCATGTATTCACAGTCAAAGGAAACTTGGAGACTATTAGGAATGGTTCATTAAGGCTTATGTTGCTTTTAATGTTTCAATTCGACATGTCAAAGCCCATAAACCAATTTGGTTATGCTTAATGTTTACTACTCTTAGGTCTTGTTAACAGTTTCCAATTCAAAGCCATCTTTGTCCTTTCAATTTTTTCTCTAGGAAGAGGGAACATAGCCTCAGATACTGTTCTTATATTTATAGAAAAATACAGCCCCAGTGCGCAATGCTATAGACTGAATATTCACACCCTGGCCTCCAACTCCTACCCCTCAGTGTGATATTTGGAGGTGTGGCTCTTGTAAGATGATGGGAAATGAGCAGAGTCCTCATGATTGTCAGTGTCATTAAAAAAGAGACCCTGGGGAGGTCCCTTAACCCTTCCCCCATGTGAAGACACAAGGAGAAGACAGCTGTCTGTGAACCAAAAGAGGACTCGCACTAGACACCAAGTGCATTCACCTTGGCCTTCTAGGCTCTAGGACTGTGAAAAATAAGTGTCTGTTGTTTATAAGCTTCTCAGTTTGTGGTATTTTGTTATAGCAGCCCAAATGGACAAAGACAGGGAATCTCCTCCTCTCTGTTAGAAATTACGTATAAATTTCAAATCTACTCTTCTAAGCAATTACCCACCAATTAATGCTCATAAATTCCTACTGTATACTCAGTTGCAAGAAACCAAAGTGTGATTATAAACAGCACTAATAATAAACAGGCACTTTTTTTTTTAAACCACCCTCTGTTCCCACAGCACTTGGGAGATCTGTCAAATTATTCTGTGGCAGATTGGAAAGAGGGGGTTGTGTTAGAAGTCATGGCCCAACTGCTAGTGACGCTGTTTCCATATTTTACAGTTTGGGAATCACTATTTAGGAAACTCTAGCTTTGTTCATTAGCTGCAACAGTAGACAGGAGCCTACGGAGATCTTTAAAGAGAAAGAGACACCATAGAGGGAGCAGAAGAACAGGGAAAAACAATCCCAGGAGACTGTTGCTTTCATGAATCTCTGAGAAGGACTTACTTCTATTTTTATATGACCAGAGTATAAAGAGATGAGGACGAGGCTGGACAGTGCAGGAAAGGGCCACTTCTTTCTATATTTAATTCCCTCAGAAACTGAGGGTATTAAAACATTTGATTTTGTATGATTTTCCTAAATAAGGCTCTACACTTTGCTCAGACAGGAAGAAACAGAATGTGATTCTATTTCCACTTCTAGAGCCAATGCAGACACTTATTTGCTAGACATTGTTGAAGAGAGTGTAAAATGATGCAGATGGCAGTGGTGAGGTGTCTTAATATCCTTTTCCACCGATGATTTTGCTGCTTTCTTCCTGTCCATGGCTTGGCCACTCTGCCTAGCTTTAAGGGAATTTTCTAGATAAAGTCTCATGATTGGCAATCAGGAATTTAGAGACACAAAATTCTTTTCATTTATCTTGTCTGTTTCCAGTATGAAAAATGCAACATCCAAAGAATGTCATGTTTGAAGACATTTGCTTCATCTAGGACATCTGAGTCTCCAAAATGTGCATAAAGGCTAAAAAAAAATTTATTTATCTGTTAATTTTCTCATGGAAGTCCTCTGGTGCTATGATATAGACCAAGTGGTCACAGCAGGAAAATCTCACATGGGCCATTGTCATTTCTAACATGTGAGAAAGGCACTCACCAGCGCTGACGGTGATAGCTTCAATAAACTGTTCTCTCCAGCTGTTCGTCCCAACCACAAGGGCTAGGTTTGTCTTCTTAATAAGTTTGTCCACAGTACTCTAGAAAGGTTGAAAAGAAAAAAAGATAATAACTGCTGGGTTGGTTAAGGCTTGGTGAAATCTAAGACCTCGCTGATTTTTAAACCCCAGAGTTATATAAAGGGTAGCAGATGTTAGGCTCAGAACAACAGTACTGACATCAAACACTGTTATGATTATGCAAACAAGCATAGTCTTTACTTGGAAACATGCTGAAATGGAAACTTCTTCATAGAAATACAAGCCTCCTTCACTGCCCAATGGCCAATGAAGAGTGGATGTTGCAGATGTTGCAGAAGCCTATCCATTCCCCTTGAATGCTTTATGAACTTTCCTCTTTACTGGCTTCATCTATCATGTGCTGTCTGCAACCAAATTAATACATGCCCTGCTCAGCATTGTGTATCTGTGAATAACTAGATGTGGCAGGTAGATGATGAAATGAAAAACTATTATTATTGTATTTTTGTTTGTCAAGGAAATGCAACCAGAGAGAAGAGTCTCAGGATTGCTGCTGTGTGATCATCAGTAAGTGGATTTTTCTTTGGATTCTGATTTTGTCAGCCTGGTGGCTGTGAGAGAATTCACTCTCACTGGTGCAAAGGAAAGACAAGATGCCAAAAGGAAATCAATTCATATGGCTTAGGGCATGTCGTAATTTACCTTGCACTGAATGTCCTCCTGCTTTGCTAGCCCTGACTCTCTTGCTTTTCTTTAGACCTTTTTTTAAGCACTTGGGTTGGTACAATCAGTGCTCTCTAGCTTTGTAAATGTCAGTTAATGTAACAAGAGGAGCAGCCAAGCGTTCACAAGAAAACTAAGTAAGCAGAAGCACCCAAAGCACTACCACAGATCATAGCAACTACAGGGAAGAGGGTCACTCCTAGGACATGAGGCTGCTCTCTCCAGGGAAACTACCACAGTAACTAGTCTACCAAACATCCACACTTACTGTCAGGGCATCCTCGAATTCCCACTAATTGCAAAGAGGCAGAAAACACGTATTATTTGTCTTAAGTCAAAATCTGTATATATGTTTAATGCAGTGTACCTGAGTTGACTATGGTTTGGGAGAGAGAGCGGGCACATTATCAGCTAGCTAGGAGTAAGGAAAATGTGACCTGAAGCTCCTGTACACAAGGCCAGGGCTAACTCAGACCTTCAAGATTGTCAGTTCCCTAAGTCATTTGAACTGACTTGAAACACTAAGGTGATGATGAACACAAAAGGGCCCAGCTCTAACTGGCCTACTCTGTAATTTAAATATCATTCTTGGATAGATTGTTTGTCCTTTGGGCAGTGACCTTTCAGCATCTAGCCTCATGTGTAAAACAACTGGAGTCTCTGAGAATAGCTGTAACCGTCACTGTGCTCGGCTACCTGAATGAGCATGAGCGTTGGTCCTCTCCACTCAGCCACAATTCCTCAAGCACCCTGAGTGTCTTGGTTGATGTCAATTCAAAGTTCTATGTAGGGTGTCACAAGAAATGTCCTTGAACTTGCCTAACTGCAATGGAAACTTGGGGCAGGCCTCTGTGAAGGAGCCAATGATCCCATCACTGGGTGAGTGGAACAGATAAAGCTCTAACAGTGAACACAGACTAAAGAACAAAGTTTTAAGATAAACTAAACTAGACTTCATATATGTAAAACCCAGGATAGTTGTAAACTTCGTCTGTGGAGACTATAGATGGATAACCTGGCTTCTTCTAGGACTTAATTTACGTCTGTGTCTTTCCTTGACCTATGAGAAGAGGGGCATGAATCAAGAGTAATTTGAAGTTCAGACACCTGAACTTGGACATTGTCATTTATATTTACCTGGAGGTTCCTAAAATGCCAGTGATCAGCTCTTCACTGTTCTACACTTGTGACTGTGACAGCCTCAACCTCAGCAGTGCGTGCTAGTCAAGTCAAGTCCTCTCACTTGTAAATGAGAACTCCGTGGGCAAAGTGGAGAGGGACATAGCAAGGTGTCGGCCAGATTTGGAGCCCTAATGTAATTCTGAGAAATGTGAACAGCTTTTGAGATAGCTATGGTCTGTGAAAAGAAATTTCTAAAATAATATGATACCACAATGGATACTTGAGGGCCCTTCAGAAACTTGCTCTCAAGGGGTGCCTTGGTGTTAACAGTTATTGTACTGATAACTCAGGAGATGAGAGAAAACAGTCTATTAAAGTTATACTAGGAAGATTAGTAGCCCCAACAACTAGAGACTTGGGGGAGCTTCAAAGACTCAGGTAACGAGTGATTACCAGAGGGAGTGTTGGACTTGAGAAAACTTTCACTACCTGGAAGTCTGTGCCAAGCCTGACCCAATCCAGTGCTCCTACAGGGAAGTACTACAGTCACACTTCCTAGTCAGGTGTGCATGGGAGGGGAAGGTTGAGGGTTTTCCCATAAGGGAGAGAATGCACAATTCCCCATGAGGAAGTGTACTCTAGATATGCCAAGATGTATGATCTCTGCCCCAGCAAGTAGCTCTGTTTGCACATGAAAGAGGGTGCATGGGGGACAGTGAGTTGGGCATCCCTGGTCAGATTGGTTCTTAGGAATGCATAGTCTGAGATTTCTGGAATCACGGGGAACCCCTGCATGCACCAGTCATGTGCATGTACCCAGCCAGGTTCCAGATCAAACAACGGTGGCTCTGATACTAGGATATACCTAGAAATCTCTGATCCTAGTGCTCCTCTGGGTTCTTTCTTTCTCTGGGAATGAGTGAAAGGAACAGTTAACAGGTTTATTCATGGTCATCTGTGGGGAAAGTTTAATTGCATTTTTATCTTTAAAAAATGCTACTTAATTGCCAAGACATTTTTCTTTCTACCTGTCTCCTATCAGCCACCTTAATTTGTAAATGAAATTAAAAGAAACATAATTAATGGCTCAACTAAAGGAAAGAGGTCATGACTAAGTGAAGTTCAGATAAAACACCAAGGCTTCTAACTTGGTGTGGTTTGATTCTCCCTTTTGGGGAGACTCTCCTTCTGGTTTTTCAGACAAGAGCAGATTCTGCTTTTGAAAAATAAATGGGGAGAATAATGCTGTGCTCCGGGTTTCTCTGGAAAGCCAGAAAAAGGATATTCCTTTTCATACCCCACTGCAGAACTAAGATGTGGCTCCAATGGGGGCTTCAATAATGGTAGTCTTATGTGGGTGAGGATGAACATAAGGGAGGTGGGGTTGGGGCAGAGGGAGTAGTCATGGCTGGGTAGGAATTTTCACCTCCAAGTCCTCAGCTTGCCCTAAGACCCATGTGTTTTTTTTTTTTTTTTTTTTTTTTTTTTTGTGGGACCCTCGCTGGTGGCCGGGGAACAAACCAGCGCTGCAGAGGCTGCAGGCGGCCTCACAGGCCAGAGCTCAACCGCTGCGCCACCAGGGGAGGCCCAAGACCCATGTGTTTAACTTCTGAAAAACAGCTTTCCTCATCTAGAGAACTGGGGTTCTAATTTTTTCAGCTCAATTACAAACTCTCTGGTTAGAATCACAATACCTCCAGTGTGTGGACAGTGTTACAATGTGCCAGGATCTGAAGGGGAGGATTAAGGAGAAATGAGAGCTTGTCAATGGCTGTTGTGTAGGGAGAGCTGATCAGCCCCTTCCCAAACAAAAGCCTCCTAATTTTCAGCAGCGTGAATGTTTTGCTTCTAACAGATTTATTAGCTTTTTTTTCAGTAGAGCCTGGTTTCTTCCACACATAATCTCTTAGAATCTACTCTGGCTTCTTCCTTGCTATCCCCTGAAAGTCCTCCCTTTGGGGCAACTTTGACCCCATGCTGAGATGATACTATTTATTTCACAGGAACTCTTGGTTCTCATACTAGCTCTCTAATTCCAATCCTGCTCTGAAGGCCTCTCAGTAAATGAGCTAGTTCCTGAAATTACATCTGTCTCTCTTTCCAGATGGACTTACAGCATGAGCCAACACTGTGAATGGTCTTGGTTCCAAGAGGGGCCTGGCCTCTACAGTGGCCAGTGCTGGGCAGCGTACCTTGAACTCGTAAGATTCTTCAATGATCACTTCCAGCTTGGTGTGTTCTCCCAGAATAGGGCGCCCCATTTCTGCAATGCGCCTCTCTTCTTCTTCTTTGCTGGTCAGTGGCTGCTTATCATCACATTCCTCTGTAAAAGGGAAGGGCAAGAAAGTGAGCCCTATACCCAATGTTATTTGGAAATCTCTGGGTCCTGCTACAAGAAAGCCCAAAAGGAAAGAATCCCTAATAACCTACTTACTACAAGTCCCTTGGTGAGAACGTAGAGCTGGAGGGAGAATCAGAGAGACACTTGGGTGTCAGGTAGCACATTGCTGTGACATCAAGTGATTAGAAAGTTTCACAACCTAAGCATATGTCAAAGTGAAGCTCAGGAAAAGTCACTTAGGGTGCTATCACCGGAAACACACTGCCTGCACATTGTCTATATTGAGGGAACCACCCAGCTATCCCGGTGGCCTGGCTCAGCTGCCTATTTGGATGCATTCCTTCGACATGTGACCAAAAGGAAATACAATGAAAAGTGCTAGGGTGACCTCAGGGACAGGAATCTGACTTCCCCTTCCCCACTTTCTAGAGGAAAAAGAGAATGCCTCCAGGCCAAAGGTGGTGAAAGAAATTCTGATCTTAGTTTCTCCCTTGCCAAGAGGCCCTGCTGCAAGAAGCAAACATCCATTCCTGTTTGAGTAAGATGTCTGGGATCCAGTGCTTCCTCTTTCTGGGGCAGAGCTGAGATATGTTAGGAAGACCTTGACCACGTTAATCCCACGGTAAACAGGGAGGGTGAGGGCAAGGCCTTTGGGGAATGAGTACTACTCACCACGGGAACATGATTATTTCCAGAACCATGGAGCTTACACTCCAGCAGAGGCTAGTGGGTGCTGAGAAAATGTTAATGGACTTGCGAGTTCATTAATGAGGGGAAGCTCACAGTTGGCTCCTCTCTGCAAGAAGGTCACTAGGATAAACCCCAGACTGAAAAGGCCAAGCACATATGAAGGCCAAATATTGTTTCTGTAATAACCCAGCCCCTTTGGCCTCCAGGCACAGGATGCTGGAACAAGACAGCCCACTTCCCCTTGGAGTCAAACTGAACGAAAGTTATCTCCAAAAAGGTAGTCTGTGATATACAAACACCTCAATCCCGTGCCCTTGCTTCTAGGACCTTCCCGAAAACTGCCTGCAGTAGGAGTCTGTTGACTGAGGAAATATGAGACTTTCAGCTTAGACTTCTTGCTTTTTGCATTTAGGCATTAATTTCTACAAGAGTCCATACCTCCATCCCCTCCAAAGATACACAGTGTTGCTCTGCTAAGGGATGCTGTTGTGGTGGCTCCATTTTATGCTCTAGCAAATGCTGGAGAGAACTGGTTCCTGGACCAGATTACCATGAGAGTAGGGAGCAAAGAGGCTAAGGGGCACTGGCAGCACTTTTTTTATATCAAGTATCAAAATCAACTGAAAGCAAATGCTGAGTGTAGTATACCAATGCATTGTTTAGCACGTCTTCTATAGCGTCTTCCTAAAAGGATATTTCAGAATCTTCTTGTCTTCTCACCATAATTACAGGGCACCAAAAAAAAATTAGATGAAGAATAAAAATAAGTGATTTTGGACTGGTGAGAAACTGCTGAATGGCTAGCAGATAATTGTAAAATGGCAGTATTCTTTTGACAGGCTTGGGAAGTAATGACTGAAGGTTCTGATTGAGATCCCCAAGATTTGCCCTAGTCAAGGGGGTTGGCCACGACATGTGAATTCCAATTTACTCAGTGCTCAAACCAATCATATCTTCTCATTGCTTTCTGATCTCGAGGCCAAGACAATGTTATTGGTAATTTTCATGATAGCAGGTTATATCAGTGCCTTTTGTCCAAAGCCTTGGCTGAACATGGCTGTCTTAGAGATGTCTATCAAATAAGAATTATTTTTTCAGAAGAAGAAATATTACAAGTTGGATTTTTATTTGAATTGCAAAGTCATTGGGAGAGAATATTTATTATGGTTCCTTTTTCTGTAGTTTGCTTTTAAATGGTAAGTTTTTAATGGGATTCGAAGTAATTTTGGTAGAAGGAGAAATTACAAAAGAAAGGTGATGGGGTGGCAATGTTTAATGTTGCATTTCACGGAATGAAATGATTTGGAACATGGTATTAAATAAACGGACATGGGAGTAAATGAAATTGAGTCACAGTGTGTGAAAGGTTATTCCCTTTCAGCCATCCTTCAGTCCTTCTGATCAAGAAGAACTGCTTGGTTTGCCGCTGTTTTTCCCTATAACTTGTTCTACCAGTTTAAGAAAGTTTTTACATTGTTTAAGAAAGAGAAAATAGTTCTCAGCCATAGAATACTTGACAGTATCTAGAAAGAATTGAATAACATATTTTCTCATTCTAAAATGTTTTTATCTTATTTTCTATTTAGACTGTATGATACTAGTCTTACATTTGGTTAATGACAAACTTTTCTTAAAAAGCAAATCTAGTGATATAAACACATGAGTAAAAACAATTTCTAAAAGTTGACTTGAAATAAATAATAGTTCATATGCAGCCAAAGTAAATATTGTAAAGGAAGCAAGGAGGAGACTAAAATTTAGGAAACAGTCTTAACAGAGTTCATAAGAACCTAAAGTTCTTATGAAGTGATAAAAACTTATGAAGTGATAAAAACATTGTTTTTATCACTTCTTATATTTTTGTGCCAAACTTGATTTGAATTTAAGTTCATACTTTTATCCCATTGTTTACCCATCTGGAAAAACTTTCCTACTTTTATTTAGCTAAACACTACTTACCTTTCAAAACCCCACCTCTTCTTGCATGATATATTTCTCAATTCACTAGTTTTAGAACAAATGTGTTAACAATGAATTAACTCCTTTATACACATTATGCTTATTGAACATGGACATTTCTAATAAAAAATTTTATTTATAAATTACCTTTGTATGAAAATATCCAGCATTTAAACTTGCTGAGATAGAACAATAAATCTCTGCTTTTTGAGCTGTCCTCACATCCCCCCTAGCCTATGACCATATATGGAATATAGTAGATGCTCAATAAATATGTCATGTGCCTCTTGACTCGCTTTTAGAAAACTCTCTTATTTGCTCTATGAATAAATAGATCATTTATTCATTTAGCAAATGTCATTATACTCCTACAATATGTCAGCACAGCTGAAGTACTACTCCCCCTCCTCCAAATTTTCCAGGAACTCGTGGTCTAGTGGGAAGCAAGGAATATAGGGGGGGCAGCTTCTGGAAGAGTGTGGTATAGGCTGAGGAACCAGGCATGGGGAGCAGCTTGCTCTGTCTAAGGGAGTCGCAGAAGGCTGCAGTTAAGAGAGATATCTGAAATTGGCCTTTAAGCAGGTATAGAGGCTTGCCAGGGGAATGTGGGGGTAAGAATGCCTAAGAGGTACCTTCCAGGCAGAGAGAAGCAGGAATGAATGATATCATGTAAGGGTCAGGAATATTTTGACTTAATATGTGTCACGAATATTTAAGAGATAATCATTTTTGTATGTAAGTGAGAGAAAGCAGTTGGGTAAATCCTAACAATTATTGCTATATAATGATATTGCTATATAATGAATATGTATGGTGTTAAGACTGGCAAAGAGAGATAAGTGAATCTTTTAAAAGTATTCTCTCTTTGGATACCATTTGTTAAATAGGGAAATTGTTTAACATTGTTTAATCATCTCTGATATATGTTTCTTTTTCACTTGTGCACTGGGTCCAATGCAGTCCATGTTACCATGGTCAAGTCATTTTAATTTTCTTATGCACAGAGATACAGTTTTAGTTTTGCTGTAGTTTTAGTTTTGTTTGGTCTTTAGTTTTATTTTTTAGAGAAAATTGATTCTATATGTCTCTATGTCTATCTACCTATCTATCTAGATATATATATATATATAAAACACATGCACATTTACATACTTTTTAAATGTGCCATATTTTATTGAGTAGTATAATAAATTATATAACATCACAGCCTGAACCAACAAATCCAACTTAAAGATCAAATGCTTGATTAACAGCCACCGTTAAAATTAGTATTGACAAGACAGAGCGCAATCCTGTGATGTAATCATCAGTAGGGAACCTCCCTTCTCCTAATTGATTTTTCAAATGACAAGTAAAAAAGCAAACAGGTAGGAACCTTGGATCTGAGGACAGCAGCACTATGAAAACACTGCTTCCTAGTGCTTTTGGCTTGGGCTGCGTTTAAAGCAGCATCGTTGTAAGAGCAGGACTCCCCTTACTACCTGCATGGCCCAGCTCACCATGCAGATACGTACCGGAGGAACAAGTGCTGATAATCACTAATGTATTCGTAATTATTAACCATAACAAATGATATAGAATTTGGAAAGGGTAACATGGCCAGCAGTGGCACAATCTGTTCAAGGTTATTTCAAGCCTTTACTCAGAGCTGTACTGACAAATCAGAAAGCAGAGATCTATTGACAGTTTTCAGCACCTGACTGTCTAATCTGATCAGAGACTATGGAGTCTAGTATTTTTTTCCATGTGGAATATTCTGGAACTGTATAGTAAGGTCTGTGTTTCATTATTACTGAATGGGTTGTGGGATGTGAGGATGAAGAAAGGCAAGGATGGGCGGTGGCTTTGGCTGAAGAGCCAAGCTCCACGTCCTCACATAGACTCAGTGCAAGGACAGTCATATAATCCTCTAGTCACCCTGTCAATGTTTTCCACTGAAGAAATCTCACAGATGTACTTTCATCTGTGTATACATGGTTAACATGTTGCCTGGAGGCAGGGAAGGCAGGCTCTGGGAAGAAATACAACTTGTTTTTAAAGTAACCTCCTTATAATTTGGAGGAAAGACCCATGTTTGAGAGCAAGATTTGCAAGAAATCGGACTATATTGGAACTTGAGAGGGATCCAACTTTCATGCAGATCCTCCCATTCCTTCCCCACTCCTGCTGTCCTGCCCTGACTTGGTTGTGCTTTGTTGCTGATCATACCCCCAGCTGCTACAGAGGTCACTGCATTAATTAATAATGTTTTAGAGACAACAGGGATTCAATTGTGTTACTTTAATGTCTAAAGACCTAAAGAAACACTTGAAGGCAGTGAGCTTCCAGTTAATTAGACTAGGTTTCCAGGGCCATGATGAAATGAGTACCTGCAATGGTGATTACAGTAGAAGGAATCGGGTGTTCTCTAGCATGAACCTTCCTGAAGACTGGTTGGCCTAGCAGAAGGACAGGTGGAAAATCAGCAGAATGGAATGCATTGGTTTGCGAGCACAGCTTTGTGGAATTAGTAAGAGAAACATCAAACCCAGATACACACACACAGGCAAGGTTAGTTCCGTGATTCAATGGACATAGGCTGCCCCTATGCAGGCTGCAGAAGTCACCAGGAGGAGGTAACTGCCCACAAAGGGGGCGAGTACTCTTCCAGCCAAAGCAGAGTATGTGAATGAAGCACATTCCCCATTATGGGGTACGCAGTCAGATCCCTGCAGGTGTCCAAATGAGATATCCATCTCCTAGAGGTTTCTGCTTCCATAAGGGCAGCACGAAACAGCAGATGCAATTGCTGTGATGACAAGCAGCTTGGTTTTTAAGGCTGATGGTGACCACATAGCCCTGAGCATGCCATTTCCCCAGTTTTCCCCACATGTTAAGTGGGATAGCAGTATCTGCTCTAAGGCATAGATTTGTTTAAGGGTCAAGTGATGTGATAACAGGGTACGTGATTACTGTTTCCTGGGTGTCTGAATGGGAGAATGATGTATATGGTGTTAGGGTAGGCCATGGAAAGCCATGAAAACACCGGTTTGGTTTGCCTTGGCCTAGGGGGTTCACTGAACTCCTACCTCAATTGACTGGTTCCCCTTATTTTGACGAGAACTACCTAGAACAGACCTGGGCATCATGAGACTTGGGACTTTGTGCCGACTACGCCTAGTATGTATCATCTAAACCTGGGTGAGGCATTTCTCTTTGTAAGACTCAGTTTGCTCAATTGTAAAATGAATGTGAACTTGAAAGGGATTTGCTCCTCTAACTTATGTACTTATGTGATTGAAGTGTTCTCAGCTATTTGAACTTTCATAGCTTGGCTTCCTTAAGAGTCATGTGCCTCACTGAGACAATAACATGAGGAGCATAATATGTTTGGAAGAGTGACTCTCAAAGAGACACATTGACCGCTCTATACTTTTAATTAATTAGAGAACTCTACAGGTGCCTGTCTGGGGACTCAAACATGCTTCTCTCTTCTCCAAGCCAAGTTAGGCTACTTAATTCTATTAAAATTATTCAAATTTGGGAGCATTTGGGTTGTTTCCATATCTTAGCCATTGTAAATAAACTGCAATGAACATAGGAGAGCAGGTTTCCTTTCAAATTAGTGTTTTTGTATCCTTTGGCTAGATTCTTAGGAGTGGAATCACTGGAGATCATATGGTAGATCCATTTTTAGTGTTCTGAGCAAACTTCATACAGTTTCCATAGTGGCTGGGCCAGTTTAAATTCCCACCAGCAGTGTAAGAGGGTTCCTTTTCCTCCACAGCCTCACCAGCATTTGTTGTTTCCAGTTTGTTTGTTTTGAAATAGGCCACTCTCACTGGCATGAGGTGGTATCTCATTATGGTATTGATTTGCATTTTCCTGAAAATTAGTGATGGTGAACATTATTTCATACTTGGACACCCCTTCCAAAAAAATTCAAATTTATGTCCTCTAGTTTTTCCTTTTAGTGGTCCCCCTCATTTTTCATTTGAACAGAATTCGTATGAGACATAGCTTGGTTTGGTTTTGAAAAAAGATTACGTTGCAGATAGGAATGAAGAGACTGGGAAGATGGAAGTAAAACAGTGCTTGTGGATGGAATAGGCATTGCACAGCTTTGGAGTCATGCACATAGGAGGTGTGATCCTATAACTCTGAATCACATACAGTGTTGTAAACCAATGTTACCGCAATTAAAAAAAAAAAATCACAAGGCCAAGTTCTGAATCCTGGATGGGTGACTTGGGGTTAACTAACTCTTTGAACCATCATATCCTCTCCTATAAGTGAGAACAATAAAATCTTGCTCCATAAGTTTGAAGATTAAATGGCATAATAAAAAATATGTTTTACAAACTCTAAAGCACCATAATGTTTAATGTATGATCATGTTTTGCACCTAGAAGATCAAGGGGAATGAGATCACAGAGTCCTTCAATGAGGCAAGGTCTAGGAGCCATAGGTAAAAATACTACATTTCCAAAAACACCTCCAGCACTTAATGTCCACCACTAATGGGATCTTTGAAATACAGGTATTGGGCTGTGGACCACATGAAATTTTCGATTTTAGTATAACCTGTTTCAAATTTAGATTCTCACACTCAGCTGCATAAGACCACATAAAAAATGCAGGCAAAGTCCAAGGGCTAGATTAATTCTCCTTTCTGTCCCCTGCCTCTCAAAGTCTTGACTTCAAAGGCTCAAATTGATGTCAAAGAAAACTCTTTGGGACTTAGATATGCTGTTCACGGGGTTGATATAAGTTTTACAACTTTCTCCAGGGCTGAGTAGATTGGCCAGACCCCAGTATTCTGGCTTGATTAAGTAGAAGACATGTCATGTAAAATAAGAGGAATTGGCCAATGCAGAAATTCCCAGGAGGAACGTTCTCTTTTTCTAACTGCATCAATTATAAAATTTTTTGAAGAGGTGGTAACAATAGAAAAACTTCTATTTCAGACTAAAATGTCAATGGTAAAAAAGAACTTAATAAAGTACATAAAATATTAGAAACCTTTTGAGGAAACAAGTCTGTATGAGATGCAAGATATATCTAAGGCAGGAAATACAGGGCATTGCTAGACATTACTGAAAAGATAATCTAGAACTTGATATGAGTAACTGCTGAGAAAGGAAAACTAGGGCCCTGTTACCTGCGTACTAACAGAGAAGCTATTGCAAGTGTTATTAGAGTAAGTTTCTAAAAATAAAATCCTGATCAAGCCAATGGAAAAAAAAATAGGAAGATATCCAAACACATCAATGCATTTTAACCAGGCACTCCAAAACCAAAGATTTTTAGTTAAGGTCTTATTATCAGACTGCATGGGGCTGAAAGGTGCTGCTAGATATTGTAGTATTTCTACAATGGCTAATTTTAAGATTATAATACTCCAGAAAGCTCTGAAGGCTGACTTGCCACATTCCCACTTTCTTCAAATCTTATAGTGATAACTTACTTATTGGAAGATAGAATCTGAATATTTCTGAGAAGACTTCAACAAGTTAAAACGTTGTTATGAGAAAAGATGTAAGTTTTAAAAATAAATGTAAATTCCTGCACTTGGCTTCAAAATAACACTTTCAGCAGTGCAAAATCAGGGAGATCTGACCTGGGAGAGCTCCAACGAATCAGATTTCAGATACCCTCTACAAGGACTTGGCCTGTTTTTCTCCCTTTTAATTCTGTGTCTCTGAGAGTCTATGAATCATTTTTGTCATTAAATGTTGTGTCTAGAGAGCAGCAGAGAGCTGTAGTCCAAAAGAAATTGCCTATATTCAGAACATTTTACTTTGGACAGATGTGTTGGAACTACCCAAACATGAGTTTACACTAACAGTGGTTGAAGTTAACCCTACTTCCCACCATGTTATTTTCAAAATTAGAATTGTTGCAAATATCTCCTTTCTAAACATTTTTGTTCAGCTAGTTGATTTCAGGGGGGGAAATTAGACTGTTGATATATGTACTGTATCTTGGAAAATGCCAAGGCCATTAGGATGGGGGTTAGAATCATCTTCAACCTGTAGCTTTAAAATAATCCAGAGTGATATTTGTTATTTGTCTCCCTCTCTAGATCTGCACAGATATCTCTAATAGGCTAAGAAAATATGTGCTTCAAAAAGAGAATACTGTAAAGGGATGTTTTCTTTCTGTATACAAAAAAAACCACAAAACAAACAAACAAAAAAAAACCAACAGCTGTAGAGTTGTGCTAGCAATCAACACAGGCTGGGGACCATGCTGAATTTAAGGTATTTCAACTCTTTTGACTGGCATTTAGAGTTTTTATTCAATTGCACCTTGCAATGTATTCCAAGTGGCAGACAAATCACTTGTCACCTTATTAATAATGCTAAAGCCTAAGTCCCCAAAGAGGGACTCAGCTGGATGGTGGGGTAAGGAGAAGGTACTCTCTGTCTTCTTAACAGAGCATTATCTATTCTTAGGATCCTGTACTTTGGCCATGGAACAGTCCTAGATGTCAGCCTCAGCATCCTCGAGGCCAGCCATTATATCCTATTTATTCTGGCACTTTCTGGAACTTCTAGCTGGACATACTGCATATTTTTGGTGCTTTGTGAATATTTATACACTGACCAGTGTCAACATGTGAACAATTACAGATTTCCTGTACAAATGTGCTCATAAATCACTGCAATACACACTTCGTTAATGTGTAAAATGTTAAATGTGCAAAATCAGCAAGAGCATAGCATGTGTCATGGCTAAATGTTAATACAGGGTATAGAAGATGTGGTTTTGGTTTGCTTTGTCTAAGGATATTTTGGGGAAAATTAGGAACATTAAAAAAAGATGGTCTTACCATACAGGTATTTTCCTTCGTTAAAGCAAATGAAAATGAGAAGTGATTTTTTTAAATGTAATTAACTTATGGAGAGAACAGAGTAAAAAATAAAATTTGATGACTTTAAACTTTAAAAATCCATACCTGTTATTGTGAAGCCACCTAAAAAAAAGAAAAAGAAAGAAGTGTTAACGGTTGATTTAACTTACACTCTAAATAATAAATACCAGTGACCTCAGACTGCCTGGCAACCCGTCCAAGGCATTAAAAACTTGCCAAATTATATTTACAATTATGAAAAATATGAACATCAATATCAATAATGACTTCATCACTAATTGTTCTTTTGCATTTATGAAATTTACTGCACAAATTTCTTTCTTGTGCATACTCTAAGAAATCAAGGATTTTGAAACATAGGTATGCTAAGCTAAAACTGGAATATAAACTATCTAACCTTCACAAAAATGAGGCCGATGGCCCTAAACAACAATCTTAGAGTAAATCAATAGAAATAAAAGAAAAATCAGAAGGCTTCTGTATCACCTGACAGAAATGGAGAAATAGCCTATAAAAATGGAGAGGAAATGCAAGAAATGAAATGCTTACCAAGCTCATTCAATAACAGGGCTGTGAAGGAAAAGACAAAGACAAACACAGAATAAGAGACCAGATGAATAATGAAAGTAAGAGGAATATTAGCAGAAAGAAATCCAGATCTGATTGCAGCAGTAGGAAGCCACTACTAAATATTGGTACACCCTGAGGAAATGTTGCACTGGGAATATTTTCAAATAACGCATCCCAACAGAAATGTCTACAAATGTGTGTGACTGTGTGTGTGTATATAGGTACATACACACAGTCTCACACACACACAAATATCATGTTAATAAGACATTTTATGAAACTAACCCTAAAGTTGGAGTGAGTCTTAATCATTAAATAGTGCCTGGGAGGTAGTTAATTCAATAATGGGAGTCTTAAAGCATCTGGGATCTCAAGTATTGTACTTTTCATTAAATGAGAGCAGCAAAATATCTTTTGACTTCAGATAAAGCTCATGCGCTTTCTCTGGAGGTTCTATTTGCTTGATATCTTGGCCATCAAGAAACACCAATGCTTTTAAAGCCTCAAAACTTGAGTCCCAAGAATTAGTGTTTATTTGTGTGTCCTTATCAATGACTTCTGCACATTGTCATTGGGCAACTAGACTAGAAAGCTTCTAGTGGACTCATAATTCTGTAGAAACAGACAGGGCGGGGAGGGTGAGGGGAACATACATCATTTATCTCTCAGATTATGTGCTTTAAACCCCAACTATACTGTAGCACTTTATTTTGGTGAGAGATACCCGGCTAAGTGGAACAAATAAATGACTCCCAGAGTTATAGATGGGAATGCTATGGTCACTTTTTCAGACCCAGGCTTCCTTCTGATGATGGTGGAATTACAGACTACTTTCTAAAACCAGCTAGTAATTTTATTTGCAGTGACAAGAATCCACTTGGTGGGTAGAACACGGGGTAGTGCTATCAAGGAATTTTAATTTGCTTTTACATGAGGGCTTATTTTACTAAAACGTTAATTGAAAGAACTTTATCCAAGATGCTGTTCCTTTAGATAAAAGACAGTTCTTTGGAGGAATACACTTAGAAGTAACTGCTTTTTCCTGTATGTTAATGAGGCATTTTTGATCCCATCTATGTAAGAAATCAGCACAATTTTCTAAAGTGTCTTTTCCTTCCGCCTACTGCCTATGGAAATAGGCTGCATTAAAATGGGTCCCCAGTGTTTCTTTCTTCATCACTCCAAAGGTTCCTCTAACCATTTTGAACATAATTAAGTCAGGGACAGGCACTTTTTTTTTTTCTGATGCACTTTGAGATCAGTGAGTTCTTACAAATGTGGGATTAATTAAATTCCTCCTAATATTGGGTCTCTATAGGAATTAGACCTATTTATTTGACTTTTACCATATGTGTAAGAGTAAAAATCTCTTGCAAAGTGTTTATCTAGTCATCTCCTATACTGTTCTCATCTTCTACACTGTATATTGTTTATATGCAATTAATAAGTCATTGATATGTGATGTGCTCATTTGCATGTATAATCAAGTATGTGGTGATTTCTTTTAAAATGAACACTATTAGAGGATAGTTACAGGAAGACCTCATAGTTATTCAGAACAGAGAATTATCTATAAAAGTGAGATAAAATTCCTGTTCTTTATCATATCAAGGCCACATAAAATAGATTTCAAATCAAAGAGAGGAGAGAATTTGACTTCTTTGTTCAAATATTTTCTGAAGATGTAAGTATAGATCAACCAAAAAGAAGTCATAAAGATACTTATTTTCTTTTATTATAGTTGTTAGAATTTTGTCAATTTTATAAGGAATAAAATATTTTGGAGAGTAAGGCTGAATGAACCTTAAGTGAGGGCTAAATTCCTACTGAAGAACCCTAACCTCCCTACTAAAAAAATTGATGTGACTATGGTTATATAAATGATCTGTTTCAAATCTCATATTTGATATGAAAATATTATGTGAATATGAATACTAGAATATCAATAAACTACCTTTTAAGGACCTTTGTTTTTATTCAACATTTCAAAAATGAGTTCTTTAAAGGCACCTAATTACTAGATTCTTTGAAAATTTACTATTAGTCGCTATTAGAGTCATCTACTATCAGGTATCAAGGAGTCTTTATCACTAGCATTTTAGGGGAAATTTTGTAGTTGGCACCAAATTTTAGAATTATCCCTGAGTAGTAAAAAACTAAGGACATAAATCATTCTTTTATGTCTTCACCTCTGAATTACAGAAATCTCTTCAGGTGTGTGTTAAATCTGGTTGCAATCAAGGTTAGTTGGCATCTCCTGAAGAAAATGGGCATTTCTTGGTGCATTTGTGCATTAGGGAAGGGAGATGAAATTGCTAAAGCTTCAAAGGAAATGAAGTATAGTACTTGGAAGCCGAGGAAGAGGAGAGAGTTAAGTGTGAGAGTAGGGAGACACGGAGAGAGAAGAGTACAATTTCTCGCTGGTATGTCTTTGTATACTCTCACACCTTTCATGCCTCTTCTTATCCATTTTGGTTCCTCAAGCACAAGGGAGAAACTGCACTCTTTCTCATATTCCTCACGGTCAAATATTCTAATGGTAATGATCTTCCTGTGGGAACACAAGACAAAGGCAAAACAAATGGTTGGAGTCACAAGCTCATGCTAGGTGTTCAAGAAGCTGAATGTTGCTGTGATGTTATGAGGGAGAACCGGCAGCACATCACCTCCCGGAGTATGTAAAAGGGCATCTCGGGTCCTCTGAGCTGGCTTCCGTTTCGTTTCTGTTTTTAACTTACACTTTTACAAATTCTTCCTGCTTCAATTAGCAGCCAGGAGGTACCCCAAATTAGAAAGAGGAATCAGAAAGTTGGCTTCATTTTGGCCTGGCAAGCATCTGCACCAACTTGCCCAGAAATGGAGGTTTAATTGATGGCACTGGAAATTTGTTCTCAGATCTTTAATGTGCACAATAGCCAAAACGGACTCATGAGCGTCCAGCCCGTGACCCCAGGTGAGATCTGTGCCCTGTTGCATAGGGGGAAGGATGTGTGCGTGGAAGTCATGTTCTGAAGAGTGCAGGCGTCCAGGGGTGGCACAGGCCAGCAGAAGCTGAGGGGCTCAGCCCTGGAGCAGCGCCCCCACCTTTCTTCTCACTCATCTCCACCAGGCGGGGTTCTCCAATCTCAAGGAAGAAGGTCTTGTTTTTCTCATACTCCTCATCATCAATTACCTTGACTGATATTGTTTTGCTGAAATAGAGAAGAATAGAAATTGACGAACAAGGGGACAAGAAAAGAAAAGGCAAGGAACATAGAAGAGAGGAAATCAAGGCTAAGGAGCTGCACTTTCAGACAAACGGTAACTGAGAAACTTTTGCACTGAATTTGCTCTTCCCGACTGGCCTGGTTTTGATCTGAGAGATTGAAGAGGTGGCTCGGGGCATAGCTCCCTTGCTCAAGGCCACAGAATTATTTTAGGCAAAACAGAGCACTCAGTGCTAATAGGTTTATTATCACCACGAGACAGAAAAGCAGAAAAACACAGGTCATAGTAAGAAAAGAAAAATATATTTATTTTGTTAATGCCTGAACTGTAGGATTGTCTGTGCTATACCTGAATAGCGCAGGTATTCACCCATTTGGAATAAATGATAAATCACATCAAAATATTAATAGAGGTTATTTATTAGGCAGATGGAAACTTTTGTCTTCATTGTGCTTTTGTGTATTTCCAAATATTTATTATAATATTTTATTGGGATCATAAATGCATAAAAACATCACAATGTAAATATAAGGCATTTTATGTTATGCCTCCCACTGTCCTGGAATCAAACTCTTATCCAGGACAGTGATTTTCCACTGAGATCCTAGGAGAAGGGGCTCATGTTCTGTTCGTCTTTCTAAAGATGGCAGCTGTATTCATTCTCCCATGAGCTATTTTGAAAGGGGAGGGGGGAGTCATGATGTTGTTCATCCCTCCCCAAGTTGACTCTCAACTTTGATTAAACACAACACCTACACCACTGTCACACCGTACACCATGGCGTTTTAAGAATTCTTTCTGTAATCTACACTTCAGCACTTCTTGCCTTATGGCCCTCTGGTTGTCAGTGACTGACAGGCAGGTAGCACAAATGCAAATATTATGCAAATCTCAACTTCCCATAAAGCTTGACATCTCCAAAAATAAATCTAATGTTACCTTCCTAATTAATAAGGGCTTCATCACTTCATGTATTACAATATACTCAAAGCCCCCTAAACACTTGTTTGTCCTTGAAACTTTCTTTTCGGTAACATTGGCCAAGAACATTTCTCACTAGTTTTTCAAACAATGACGTCATACTGATGCTATTTCCATGCCATGGACATCTTTAAGTTTTGATGGACATTTCTAGTTCTTCTGGAAGGGAATTAGTTTATAGATATATAGTTTTATAGACTGAAGCCATCAGATTTCATTTAGATATATGCATGGCAGAGTATCAATCTTCTTTCCAGATATGAACAAGGCCATGGATAGACATTGCATTAAATTCTCTGAATTTCCCAGTTCCTAAAGTTAAATGCTTTAGTCTTATTTTCTTGGGTTAGCATAGTAGACACAAGATCGAATAATTGGTCTTTGATGTTTGAGGTCTCATAAACTTCTCTCTGCTCCTCAGTTAAAGAATACGCAGGCATGATGCTCACATTCTGATTTCTATTCTTAAATTAGCTCATGAATGTACCTTCTTAGTTCTGTTCTCAAGGACTTAAATACTAAGGCTAGATAAGCAGCTATAAATGACTAAAGGAATATTTTTTTAGAGTAAATAGTTACAAAACTAGCCACAGTGTGACAAGTCTAATTACATATGTACAGTGAATAGTTCCTGTCCAACTTCTAGAGCAATTTTCTATAATTCACCTTAGTATAAGAAAACTAAGTCTTCCTGGACTAAACCTGTATATCTGATCATTCCTCAATATCTAAAAAATACCCACAACATATTACAGAAGGCACAGGAGGAAATAAGAAATGATCATACATGTCTTTTCTGTTTCAGAACTGAAGTTTATATTACAAGGGAGATCAAATTTACCCTATAAAAACCTGCCAAATATCTACCCTCTTTGTAGCAAATGTTTGCATGTTACAGCCTTGTAAGCATAAACTATAGTTGTACAACTCCTCTAAATCAATCAGTATCATAAGGTCAAATAAAGGAAGAGTACCTCTCTAGGTGCCTGGCAGAGACATCTAAAATAGATGGGATTTGCATAATGGCATATCATTTCAAAATCATTAGTAATACAATCAATAGTGGCTCTGACAGGAGGAGTCGTTAAATTATATATTGATTTTGCTCTTCTTGCACAGTAAAGCTAATAATAGACTTGATTATTAAAGGACATTTCAGTCAATTTAAAGAGGCAGAATGAAGTCAGTCCTTATGAATTAGCTCTTTGAATCAAGAGAAGTGAAAATCAAAAGGGATTGGTGATGTTCATCTTTTGCATCCAAACAGAACTATTTGGCCCCCTAGCACAGCTGGCAAAGGTAAAATCAACCCAGATATCTTTTAAAAGAATACATCCTTGGGATGTGTTTTGCTCATGTTCAGAGCCCACTGCATGAGAGGGACTGTTATTCTTGTATCACATATTACATGAATTGGGAAGATTTGGTGAAGACTCCAGGGCACTAGTTAAAAATCAGTAGAAGCATGCATCTGCTCCTTAGAATTCTGTGAGAGAATTAGCATCTCCAGAGCTGAAGGGACTTTAAAGGTGCTCCCTCCAGTTTTCCCTGTTGCCACACCAACCCCATAATCATACCGTGACAAGAACTTCCTTTCCCTGAGAACACAGATTCACTTGACTGTTCTTCTTTTGGTTCTATTTACCAATGGGAACAGCCAGATAGCTGTTATTTCTTTAAATTGACATGTTAACCAAAACAAGGCTGGAACAGTCAGGTACACACAGTTCTTCATTCAGTGACAACTGTTGCATTATTATTGCACTGATAAGAAACAAATAGAAAAATTGATGTCATAAAAGAAGCTAAGCATTCTCCCTTATTTTATACCTTTCTGAAGTTGAACAACATACTATAAAAATATTTTCTAGAAAAGCAGTTACAAATCTTATAATGTTAAAATATTTCTCAATGTTGACCATCCAAAATTTGTATGGAAATACATTTGATTCCATTTCTAGATAAGAAGCATTTGGTAAAGATCAATTTATTTAGTGGAAAAATGCAGGTGATTCCTTTTGATTTGTACAGTGGCTTTAACTGGATGATAAAAACCAACATCTCTACTTCTTATTCTTGCTACCTGAAAGGACCCAAACACCCTGAAGGAGTCTAACAAAGAGTTCTTAAGTCAGGTGATGACTCAGGAAGGTGGTAAATAAGGAAAGAAAGAGGTGGCTTTATTCATGGGAGCTAAAAAAGAGAAAATCTTTTCAAAAGTAGTATCGCTACTAGTATCATTAGTCTCTCTCATTATTAAACCAAAGTAGTATTTCTTTTTCAATGTCAGCCTCAAAATGTCCTTCTGTGGTTTCCTTTCCTTAAGGCTACCCTTAATGTAGGAAGAAGTGAGAAAAAGATGAATTAGAGAACTGCATTTCTTAACTCACCAATCTTTATAACAGCCTTACAAGTACCAAAGGTTTACAGAGGAAACAATGACTCAGGAATGTTAAGTAACTTCTAAGGTGAGACTCCTGAGACTGATTCCTAACACCTAGACCTTTCGATTATGTGATCCACAGGATCCCTCATGAAAGTTATGAAATCCATTCCACTGTGCAGTATTTTTATCATGGCTTTAAATGATCTGAATCATTATTTCAAATTACTATAGAGGTTGGTTGTTCTCTCTTTACATTAACAAAGACCGCCTCTCTCTATAAATGATAGAAATTCAATTCTATTTTTAAAAGAAGGACAGCACATATTATATTCAATAATGGATATCTTAAGGAGTTAAATCCTTGATGTCATAAAGATCCAATTAGGATTAACTGAAAAGTGCTGTGCATGTGTAGGGGCTCAAGACTCTGACTCTAAGAACTTTGAGAGTAGCCTCAGCCTCAGCTGGGGGCTGCTAAAATTGCAGAATCTCAGGACCCACCCAGACCCACCAAATCAGATCTGCATTTCAACAAGACCCCAGATGACACCTATACATGTTAAAATCTAAGAAACAATCGTCCAGAGAGGACAATGGATTCTTTCATTAAATTGGATAGTCATTAAGAAGCTGACAAATGTTGGGTTATGCTTTGGAAGTTTTCGTGTTAGATTCACAAGTAGCGCTTTAAAAACCCTCAAGGCTGGCCAGGCCCACACCAGATCAATGAAATAAAACTCGGTTTTTGCGGCCCCAGCATGAATAGAGTTTTTAAAGGTTTTTCAGGTTATCCTAATACATAGTCAAGGCTCAGAACTGGCTCACAAAAAGCTGGAAGATATAGCCTGATGTTTAAAAGAAAGTATTAAACTAAAAAGATATAATTTTGAGTGTGTCATTGTCAAAACTCAATTTTAGATCTCATTAGCAATCTAGGTTGAAATATGGGAGAAACATGTTTGCTTTGTTCTTCACTA